CCTTCGTGGGATCTGCCATTGGTCCTTCGAGCCCTCACATCAGCTCCATTTGAGCCTCTGGGATCCGCCAGCCTGAAATTTCTGACTCTAAAGGTTGCTTTTCTCCTGGCAATTACATCGGCCAGGAGAATTTTGGAGCTTGCGGCCTTGTCCGTTTGCAAAGACCTCTGCATTTTTCATGCTGACCGTGTGGTCCTGAGGCTGGAGCCTTCATTTCTGCCCAAAGAAAATTTGCTTTTTGACAGGGCTCAGAAGCCCATCCTCCCTGACTTTTGTCCGGCTCCTCGCCATCCGCTGAAAGAGCAATGGCACACCTTAGATGTGCGCAGGGCCCTCAGACAGTACATTAGGAGGACCGCTTCATTTCATCAAACAGAAGCTCTTTTCGTGTCATTTCACCCATCGTCCATGGTCAAGAAGGTCTCCTCCTCCACGGTGGACAGATGGCTTAAGGTTTGCATTTCAAAGGCGTACGAGCTCAAGGCCCAACCTTTGCCGGGCAGGATTCTGCCACATTCAACACACAGCACTGCTACTACAGCGGCTTGGGCTACTCAAGCTTCCATCAGTGATATTTGTAGAGCAGCCACTTGGTCATCGATTTCTCGCTTTATACGACATTACAAACTCGACAGCTATGCCTCGGCTTCCTTTGGGAGAAGGGTATTGCAGAGCGTTCATTCCACCCTGGACCCAGGGAGCAGTCAGCCTCCCTCCCAGGATCCTTGAGCTTGGGTATATCCCATCTATGGATTGCAGGAACAGCACACTGGAAAACAGACGTTGACTTACCTGAACGTCCCTTTTCTGGGCACTGCGACTGCAATCCATACCCTCCCTTTCGGCTTCCTGCTGCGGGTCTGGGTGGGTTATTGTGGTTGTTGTTTGTGTGCTTAAATATTTTTGTCTAGACTCTTGGAGGACTGTGCCTTCATGATAAAAGACTGAAAGTTGGAGAGCAAAGGAGGCATGGTCAAAAGAAGAAAGAAAAAAATCTACACTCAGTCTCTAGCAAGGAATGTGAAATAACCCATCCATGGATTGCAGTTGCAGCGCCCAGAAAAGGGACGTTCAGGTAAGACAACGTCCGTTTTGCATCTTGCTTATTTAATGTTAAAAACAATACTCATGATCCTCAGAGAGAAAGATGAATTGGAAGCACAGGCCAGGGTTTGCTCACTAACTCTTGCTGAAATTTTCAGATATTCATGGAAGTCTTTAAAAAAATAGCTGTTTGAAAGAAATGATGTTCTTGTGAACACTCTAAAACACAATTTTGAATAATTTTTGACACAAGTACAACCCTACGGACAACTGCCTTACTAAAAATTCATATGTGATGTTTTTTCAGGTCTCTGAAGTAGCTTCATTATGTCTGCTCTTCCAGTAATCAGTATCAAGTCTCCTAGTGATTCTCTCTTCCACTGCTGATACTTCCCTTAAAATTGCTCACAACTAATTATTAACATATAACTAGCCGTTTCATTGACCTTATATGTCTACTAAGATTCCAGTATTAATTCAGTCCTTGATTTTTGGAATATTTTCCTTTTGGGTGAAACCATTAATAGAGTTTTCATCTCCCAAATTTGCATTTAGCAGCATGTATAAAACATTGGCCCGTTCTACTCACAACATTATTTCTTACTCAAATGATGCACTAAACATTTATTATGGAATAATTATTCCATGGTAATGAATAAAGGAGGCTAACCAATAATGAAAAAAAATGATTAACTATTATACTGTAGGATCTACCCCACAAGATGAATAACATTTTAAAAGGTTACATACATACATAGGATTCAAAGACAAGCATAACATTTTTGGTCTAGTTTATTGTTTACGTATATGCTACTGCTTTCTATGGCAAACATTACATTAGTGCATGTATACAGTATATTATCTAAGGACATTGTCATTAAGAATCTTACTTGACATTTCAAAAATACTGAATTGTGATTTGAAGACCCCTTGATTTAAATAATAAATTTATGGTAATTATTTTCTTGAATGTGATTTTCTTGCCTGGAAAAAATGGGGCAGGGGACTTTGTTTGTTACTGGAACAATGCTGGAAGGGACCTTGGAGGTCTTCTAGTCCAACCCCCTGCTCAAGCAGGAGACCCTATAGCATTTCAGATAGGTGGTTGTCCAGTGTTTTCTTAAAAACCTCCAGTGATGAAGCACCTACAACTTCTGAAGGCAAGCTGTTCCACTGGTTAATTGTCCTCACTGTTTCTCCTTAATTCCAAGTTACTTCTCTCCTTGATTAGTTTCCATCCATTGTTTCTTGTCTTGCCTTCTGGTGCTTTGGAAAATAAATTGACCCCCTCTTCTTTGTGGCAGCCCCTCAAATACTGGAATATTACTATCATGTCACCTCAACATCTTTTTTGTAATATGGTGACCAAAACTGGATGCCATATTCCAGGTATGGTCTTACTAAGGAGTCATAAAGTGGTACTAATACTTCACAGAATGTTGATTCTATGTCTCTGTTTATACAACCAAGGATTGTATTAGCTTTTTTGGCTACTGCCATGCACTGTTGGCTCACGTTTAAGTGATCATCCAGTAGGACTGCAAGATCCCTGTCAGGTCTGATATATTTCTATTGGGATACTGGCATTCTGGGGGGAGGGAGGAGGATTGGAGGGATATCTATATGAAGTTTCTGTTTCTATTTCCTGCTTGGAGAGATCTCTGTATGAAGTTTTTGTTTCCTGTATTGCTGTACTGTGGGAGGGGTTTTGTTTGCACTGCTTTAAATTGCTGTTTTTTAAGTGGGAAGATTTAGTTCCTGCCTAGACCTCTTGCTGTCACAAGCCTTTCAATAAAAGCTCCTTTTGGAACAACTTCAGTTTCAAGAGTCCTGCTTTCTTGTGAAGATTTGGAGAGGCAAGACCTTACATTAGGCAGGAACTGCAAACTGGTCAACCCGGAGAGGTAACAGCCCTACTGTGGGGACCGTGCACACCATGTCTGCCCAGAGTAGCGACCATGAAGAGGCTAAATGCTGGGGGAGAACCTCCCCAAGACCCAAGCAAAGGAGGCCCTCAATGCCTGGATTGAGGAAAACATTGCCTCAAACACCACTGCCATGCCGAGGTAGTCCATTGGCATTGGGAAGTAGGAAGGCTGCAGCAGCAGGACTAAGGATATCACCCTCATCCGTGGGAGCTGCTGACCCAGCTGGAAGCAGGAGATGGGAGACCTCTATGACAATGATGAACTGGAAGAAGCCCCAGACCGATCCAACTAACTCCTGAGGGAAGCCATGAATCGCATGAGGGAGGCCATCCATGGCATGCGGACCCAGGATGACCCGGCTTGTGCTACGGGTGAGGTAGGAGCGCAAAAGGAGGCTACCGATGAACAAAGGGGATCCCCAGCCCCAGGGGCATCTACTGAAATCGCAGAGGCTACTGGCGAACCCATTTCCACCATGGAAGATCCACCCAGGTGACAGCTCAACGCAAAGCAAGGCCTGCGACTCAACAGGAAGAGGCTTTCATCTCTTAGAATCTTGGTGTCAAATTTGACAGAAATCCCCAGCAACTGGGATTTTTCCTCACACCTAGATGCAGGAGTATAGGAGGGACCTCCCTACAGAAAGGCCCAAAGTCAGGGTTCTCATGCTGGCTCCAGAGGATCAGCTGCATGTTGGATGGTGAGCCTCCATAATGCAGATGCACCAGAGCTCTGCAACTTTAATCACTTCATGACAGCCCTGAAAGAGAGATTTGAGGACCCCCTAGCCGACCGCAAGGCTAGACACTGCATAAGGCACATCAGTGACCTGATTTGCCAAGTAGATTGGCCAGAGGAAATACTAATGAGTTGGTTCAAAGATGGCTTAAATGATTACCTGTACAACACCTGCGTTGCCTATGGAGCCCCAGTCTGCCTGCATAGCTGGTGTGTCTTGGATGAGGAAGCTGAAATCGACCAAGCTCAAAACCAGTACCACGCAAGTCACTCCTGGAAGAAATCTCCACTGGAAGGGAGAAGGAGGGAACCAAACCTCGCTCTGCCCCGCTGCGCTCAGCCGCCTGCTTCAATTGCGGGAAGGAAAGCCACCACACAACCGAGTGCCATGCGAGGATGCCCACCCAGAAAGAAGAGAAGCAGGTCTGAGGGAAACCCTCAAAGCCACTACCACATTCCAGAGACACCGCCCTAATGACCCATAGTACAGTATGAGGAACTCCGACCGCTCCAGTGGAAGAACCCGATCAGTCAGAGAGCAACTGTGAAGATCATTTGGTAAGTGGGGTTGTCAAACCCCTTACAACTCCTATAGAACCCTTTACAACTCCTATGGGAGAAAAGTGAGACTTAAAGCATTGCTGCATTCAGGGTTCACGAGAAGCCTAATAAGCCCAACTCTGGTCTGGGAACTGGGCATTCGACTAAGGCCACTAAAAATTCCAGTCTCATTCTGTCAACTTGATGGGTCCATTGTGAGGGGCGCCCCAGTCACATTTGCTGCTGAACCGCTCAAACTAACAATGGCAAATCACTCCAAAACCATTGCTTTCTTTTTTATTATTATAATATTATTTATTATGCAATTTTCTTTGTTATATATAAGATTTCCATATACAGAACAAAACAGAAAGAACAGAACATAATAACAGTTGAAAGGGACCTTGGAGGTCTTCTAGTCCAACCCCCCTGCTCAGGCAGGAAACCCTACACCACTTCAGACAAATGGTTATCCAACATCTTCTGAAAAATTTCCAGTGTTGGGGCATTCACAACTTCTGCAGGCAAGTTGTTCTACTTATTAATTGTTCTAACTGTCAGGATGAATGGAAAACACCATTTAATTGTCCGTTGGGATGTTTTCACTTCAAGGTTTTGCCATTCGGGCTCCAAGGAGCTCCTGACGTTTTCATGCAGCTAATTAATGAGGTGCTGCATGAGCATTTGTATAAGGGAGTTTTGGTTTATCTTGATAATATGTTGATTTATATTGAAACTAAGACTCAACTTGTTAAATTGGTGCAGGAGGTCTTGGCTGAACCTCTGTTAAAACACCCAGACCCAGAGAAACCATTTGTAATTCAGGCCGATGCCAGTGATGTGGCAGTCTGTGCAGTTTTACTCCAAGATAATGAAGAAGGTAAATTACAACCATGTACATACACCTCTAGGAAATTAACTGAAACTGAACAGTTTCAGTTGGACAATATGGGAAAAAGAGGCTTTTGCAGTCAGGTGGGCACTCCTAACTTGGAGACATTTCTTAGAAGGAAGCAAAATACCTTTCCAAGTATGGACCGACCACAAGAACTTGTAAGCATTCAAAACCCCACGGAAAATTTCCCCAAAATAGGTCCGAAGGGCACAGTACTTCCAAAGTTTTAATTCCACTTTGAAGTATTTACCGGGAGGAAAAAACTTTTTGTCAGATGCCTTGTCCAGACTACTATAATACAACAGTGTTAAGGTGGAAGTAATTAAACTCGTGCTCCCAGCCTCCCAATTAGCAGCTAAAGTTGTCATGCTATCTCAGACAAAGAATGACCCCTCCACCTGAGACAATGCCACCACCACAGAATTCAAAAACACTTTGGAAACAGATGTGTGGCTTAATGCTCATAGACATATTTGCATAATAAAAGATAGATTAGCTTGGGTGGGAAATAAGCTGTATGTCCCAGCTAGGGAAAGACTGAAAACTATACAAGCTTGTCACGATTCCAAATTAACTGGTCACTTTGGTTTTGTAAAAACGTTACATTTATCGAAACAGCAATTCTGGTGGCCCTCATTAAAAAAAGACATAGAAAGCTATGTAGCAAGCTACCCGATTTGCACTGCTGCTAAATGCAGGCAGAGGAAAAACCCTGGTCTACTGCAGCCGGTGGCCGACCCTTCAGCACTATGGAAAGAGATCTTCATGGATTTCATTGTAGAATTGTCCGAGAGTTCTGGAAACACAGTGATTTGGGATGTCACAGGCCTTTTCTCAAAGCAAGTTCACTTTGTCCCATGCCAAAAGATCCCTACAGCCAAAGCCTTGGCTAAGCTGTTTTTGGTCCACATATACTGCTTGCATGGGGCCCACGACGCATTATTTCAGGCAGAGGGGTCCAATTCACATCCAAGTTCTGGAAAGCCTTTTTGGACCTACTCGGAACCGAACAGGGACTTAGTTCTAGTCATCATCCGCAAACAAACAGGGCCACGGAATGAACAAACTCAGTTCTGAAACAGTACCTGCGTTGTTTTATTAACTATTAACCAGGACAACTGGACCGAGCTATTGCCTTTTCCAGAAGTGTCTATAGTAATGCAGTTCACACTAGCACAGGTTTTACCCCATTCAGAGTAGCCACAGGGAAAGAATTTAATGCTATGCCTGAGTTACCTCACATGAACCAGAAATCCCCTCATTGAAACAGTGGATCAGTCATTTGCAAACCATTTGGCCGGTGGTCTGCAAAGCCTTGGATGAAGCCAAGACTGCCTATAAAGCACAAGCAGACAAGAAACAAATAGAACCTAGACCTTACAAAGTGGGTAATAAAGTTTATCTTTCCAGCAAGTTTCTAAAATTTTGCAGCAATCTAAAAAGCTGGGCCTTTCCTCATCATTCATATTATTAACCCTGTCACAGTGGAATTGCAACTCCCTAAGTCATTATGGCAAGTCCATTTTCCATTGTAGCTTGCTGAAGCCTGAAGTCACCTCTGACCTTCATCCGGCTACTACCCTGTTCCACCCCCTATTACGGTAGAGTGTGAACAACATTTCGAAGTTCAAGAAATTCTAGACTCTAGGAAATTCCACAGAGCCACTCAGAACCTGGTGGCTTGGAAACACTCCCCTTCTCACACAATGAATGGGTTCACAAAAAACATGTGCATGCCCCTAAATTAATACATATATTTCATCAATTGTACCTTGACAAACCTCGCTGATTTTATATTTTCTTTCTCTCCCCTTCACTCTTTTTGTTTTCTTTCAGGTGAACTTCCCACTTTTCTAGGGGGGTGGCATGTCAGGTCCCATATATTTCTATTGGGATGCTGCCATTCTGGTGGGAGGGGGAAGGATTGCAGAGATCTCTATATGAAGTTTCTTGTTTCCTGCATTGCTGTGCTGTGGGACGGATTTTGTTTGCACTGCTTTAAATTGCTTTTAAATTTTTTAAGTGGGAAGATTTAGTTCCTGCCTAGACCTCTTGCTATCACAAGCCTTTCAATAAAAACTCCTTTTGGAACAACTTCAGTTTCAAGAGTCCTGCTTTCTTGCGAAGATTTGGACAGGCAAAACCTTACATTCACTCTCACAGTTACTTCTATTGAGCCAGGTTTCACCTAATCTATACTTGTACCTTTTGTTTTTCCTGCCTAGGTGTAAAACCTTGCTTTTATCCACATTAAATTTCATGTCGTTGGATAGGGACCATTGTTCAAGTCTGTCAAGATCTTTTTGGATCCTGATTTTGTCTTCTGGGGTGTTGACTATTCCTGCCAGTTTAGTGACATCTGCAAATTTGATGTTTCCCTTCTATTCCCTCATCTAAGTCATTTATGTTGAAGAGTACTGGGCCTAAGACGGAATATTGTGGTACCCTACTGCTTACTTCCCTCCTTGTAGATACAGTACCATTAAGAACTACTCATTGAGTATGGTTTGTCAGCCAGTTACACATCCATCTGGTAGTGATGCTGTTTATTCCACATATTTCTAGTTTACCAGGAAGTAGGTTGTGGTCTACTTTGTTGAATGCCTTACTAAATTCTAAGTATACTATGTCCACAGCATTTCGTCACTTTGTCAAAGAATGAAATAAGATTGATTTGGCATGATCTGCTTTTAACAAACCCGTGCTGTCTACTAGTTATAACTTTATTTGTTTCTAGATGTTCACAGATCTGGTTTTTTATTATTTTTTCCAGTATCTTCCCAGACATTGATGTTAGACTGATTGGTCTGTAGTTTCCTGGGTCTGGTTTTTTTTCCTTTTTTGAAGATGGAATACATGAAAGAATGTTGTCCTTCTGGTTTATGCATTATATATTTAAAACCCTGGTGTAAACTGTATCAGACCTTGGTGGTTATTATAGACTTTGATGGCTTGTGCATTATAATATAATAGTCAAATGTATTAAATGTAAGTAGTGTTGTACATTCAGTACGAATCTTGTGAAATTACTTTAGCTCATACCAATTTTATGTTTATTTTCTTTGCAGGAATTTAGAACATAAATGTGCTAAAGCCTACCAACCGTTACAGACTTGACTTCTGCAAATACTTTGGTCTTTTCTGGCCATGTTGTACAATTGGTGTTCCATGAGAAATTTGTCTTCATGAAGATTCCTAATATTGGTAATGTGATGAATAAATTTGAGATCCTTGGGGTTGTAGGTGAAGGTAAGCATATATTCATGAATAAATTTAATTGAGGTTTGAGAAGAGATGTGTGCATAACTAGAAAGAAGTAGGTGAGACATTGATTACAGAATGCAGTTTTTGTTTTGCTATGGCTAGAAATATACAATTTTTCTAATCACTGATATGGCATGATAGAACTTCTGACTCATGTTTTCTGCTGTTTTGCTGTTAATTCCTGATATATAACTAAAATGGAAAATCTAAATGACTGATATTATAGTAGGACAAAATAAAATGAATGGAACAGCAATTTTTCTATCATAAAGGCTTTAAGTCTTTATGTTATAGTTTTCTAATCTTATGAGAGCTTTCTTTCTTCCTTTGAAGCCTGGGAAAGAAAGGGCACACCCTTTTATATGTGAGTTATTCAAAATTAAGAAAGATCTTGATTGCTTGTCCAACTGAGCTTCAAGCTGTATTATAATGCTGAGTTTCAAAACTCTCACAGAAAATTTTCTCGTTTCCATGCCTCTGCAAGCACATATTTTTAAAACGTAAAGTTGATTCTTAATACAAATACTGTTTTTGGTAAGTCGTGATTGTATATGTGTGGATAACTAAGTGGTAGATATACAGTTGAAAATTTTTAATTCTATTGTGTTTATCTTACCACTTAGGATATATTGCTGTTTATCCCTGAGTACATTTAGAAGTGTTTTAGTGTAAAAACTATTTAATTTTCTAATAATTAAAGCATTCTTGCTCCTTAAAATGAAACTTCTGAAATTTGGTCTGTTGCTTCAGCTGCTTTATGCTACAATCATTCAAAATTGGTTTTTTTTTCTAATTAAGGAAGATAATGCTTAGACACTTGCATTGTTCTCTGAAATTAAAATATTTAAAATTTATACTAAAAAATATGTGAACACACATACATTCAGTTAATTTATGTTTAATCAACTGTAATGAGGAAGAATGTCAAGCTTCTTAAAAACCTACTAGTCAATTTTCACTTGAGCCTAAGAATAAAATTTTGCAACATTTAACCCAAATAATAATCTCTACAATTTCTACACAACAACATGAAATCATAGGTGCCAGTTCTTTACACGGTGTTGGCCTTTATATCATTACATTTTTCCCAAGAACCTAGGACAGTGATGGCTAACCTTTTTGCCATTGCGTGCCAGGAGGGGTGGGGTGGGGTTGCGTGTATGTGTACTCACACCCATAATTCTATGCGCCCCGCACATGCACATGCAACACCCCCCCCCCACTCCTGGCACGCGACGGCCCAGTAGGCCCATTTTTCTCTCTCACCTGGCTCCAGAGCCTCTCTAGGAGTCTGGGGAGGGCGAAAACAGCCTTTCCCATCCCCCCGGAGGCTCTCCAGAGCCCAGAAACAGCCCGTTTGCTAACCTCCGTTGGGACTGGAAGTTGGCAAACGGGCCATTTTCAGCCTCTGGAGGACTCTGGGGGGGGTGGGGAAGGCCATTTTTGCCCTCCCCAGACTCCTAGATATGCTCTGGAGGCTGGGGACAGCAAAAAACAGGCCTTCTGGTCCCACCGGAAGTTGGCAAATAGTCCGTTTCTGGCCTCTGGAGGGCCTCCGGGGGGTGGGGAAAGCTGTTTTTGCCCTCCCCAGACTCCTAGAAAGGCTCTGGAGCCAGGTGAGAGTGAAAAAAGAGCCTTCCCCACCACCCCCCGAGGCCCTCCGGAGGCAGGAAACAACCTGTTTCCCTACTTCTGGTGGGCCCAGAAGGCCCAAAAATCAGCTGGCCGGCGTGTGCATGCGCACCAGAGCTGAGCTCGTGTGTCCACTGATATGGCTACGCATACCACCTGTGGCACGCATGCCATAGGTTTGCCATCACGGATTTAGGATGTAGTAATGTATCAGTATAATATACTGTATGTGTGGATCCAAGCACTGTGACCTTTTGTAATTGGCAGATGGAAATTTTATTAATGCACAGATTTTCTAAGTGTCATCCAAGATTTTCACCTAGTGTGCTAATAAACACTGGGATCAATTTATGCCATAATTTTTTAACTTCGATTTTCAGATCTTGATTCTGTGATCTCCAATTCTTTGTCTTCTATTCTATTATCCCCTGATATTGCCACATCAATTATCCACCCTGTCATTTTATCCACAGTTAAATCTGAGCTAACACTTTATCAGTTTCTATTCGGAAATTCCACAATATTTCAATCTGCTAATTTTTTACAATTTTTTCAACTACTGTAAATATTCCCACTAACTTTTCATTAGTGCACATGGTATTTTTAATAGATGTTTCAGGAATCGTTTTGAAGACTATATTATGTTGTTGTTTATAATCAGTTTCTGCAATCTTCTTGCAATGAGCTGAATATATGATTTACTGTTTCTTCTGCTTCTTTGCAGAATCTGTATTTTAATCATTTGATGATTGTTTAGTTCTGGCTTTGTTTGCATTAGTTCAAATAGCTTGCTTTTGGGCAGCTAAAATCAAACCTTTCATTTTCTTTTTTTAATATTCTATTTGTAAACCATTGCCAGGTCTTATCTATATCACTTTCCCCTCTATCTTTTGAGGAAATTGACCATGTAATGTTTTTCCTTGTCAGCATTCTGCTTATGGTTTTATTACATTATTTCAATATTCATTCATTCATTATTATTATTATTATTATTATTATTATTATTAGTAGTAGTAGTAGTAGTAGTAGTAGTAGTAGTAGTAGTATTTAAGATTCAGTCTTCAATTCAATTCACAGTCTGGGACTGGTAAAAACAGTTCAGATCCTAACCAAGGACCTAAGAGCTGTTAAATTAATTCCATGTATCTAGGCAACCTTTTGGGTATTGCTCCAAGGGTTCCTATTACTGTTGGTACAACCATTGATATCTTCCTCCACAATCACTCAACTTCAATTTGCAGATTGCAGTATTTTGTTATTTTTTTCTAGTTGTTTCTCTTCAATTTGTGCATCACCTAGTATTGCAATATCAATGAACCAGACTTTTTTCTTTTTCACAAAAGTGATGTCAGGCATGTCTTGGATTCAAAAGTCCCACAAGCTCTTGACCTGTTCCTTCTCAAGAACTTTGTCAGTTGGTGTTCCCAGTAATTTTTTTTGCTGCTGCTGCTGCTGCTGCTGCTGCTGCTATTATTATTATTATTATTATTATTATTATTATTATTATTATTATTATTATTATTATTATTACCTTTTAAATACAAAGTATAATACTTTCTATGATGTACATATGAATGTTGAAATTTGATATTTTTTTTAATTTTGGGCTATAGGAGCCTATGGTGTTGTGCTTAAGTGCAGACACAAGGTAAGTAAAACAATCTACATTGTGCTTTATTATCTTTGTTTTGCTTTTCCCAGACCATGGTTTGGTTCCATTTGCCTGCAAGTTGCCCTGGCTTGTGTACTGTTCATTGTGAATGAGAATCTGTTTCTTCCCTTTCCTTGTTTAAATCTATCTATAGTTTGGTCCTTCATTTAAAATGCTTATCCATGGTTTTTACATAGTTTCTTGTTGTCATGGGTTACAGTTTACTGTATTTTTCGGAGTATAAGACGCACCTACCTTTTTTGGTTGTTGTTTTTTTAAGTTTTTTTTATTTTTTAGACAAGCACACATACAAACATACAATGTATTTTCTTTGAACAGTATTTGGCTGGTTCACAAATTTAAACAGTGTTTAGTCATTTCAATTAAATTTACAATTTCTATATTTCCTTTTTGCCATATTTATTCCTCATCTATTTTTTAAAAAAAACCAATATTACCCTTCATTCTCATTTCTAATCTTAGTCAAATTCAATTTTTCCCTTCTATTCTATATTATACCCCTTCCCATTGTCATCTATTTTTATATCCATCCTCACATTGGTTAATTATTTAATATTACAATTGTTTAATACAAATTCAACATTTTTTATATAAATCAATTAGTTATAACTTATCTTTTTTGTATATTAATCAATATAAACATGAATATTCCAATTATTTCCATGCAATCCAATTTCTTACAAATCAATTAATTATATTTACCAATAATAATAAACCAAATAATTTTCCTCATATATTCCTCCAAACCATAACTTAACCATTTCTGCTTTCAACACAATATACAATTAATAGCATATCAATTATTACAATTCCCTAGTTAAATAGACCTTTTTTCTTTTGTGTTTTAAAATCTTGAACTCTCCTCTTTTGCACTAAATTTCCCATTGTTTGCACCTACCTTTTTTGGTGAGCAAAAAGAAAAAGAAATCTCTCTCCCTGCCTCATTTTATCACGTTGCAGCAGAGCCTGCTTTACTTTCAGTTTCGTTTTAGCTAGGGGGAAAAAAAATCTGCTCCAGCATTCTTTGCAGCAAGCAAAGAGCTTGCAAAACAAGAGCTTGCAAAAGAGCCTGCACAAAACAGCTGAGAACAAATCAGCTGAGAGTTGGGAGGCCGATCTAATCAACTTGTGCTAATTAGCCTATGCTGAAGCTGAATGGGGCTGTTTTTTCTTGCTGTTTGCTTGCAAGGAGGTAACTGCTGGGAGGCAGAGGCCAAAGGGTGGGGGCCAGTGGGTGGGCAGCGCTACATTCGGTATATAAGACGCACCTAAATTTTCACCCCCTTTTGGAGGGCGGGGAAAGGTGCATCTTATACTCCGAAAAATATGGTAATTCAGATTGCCAAATTATTGTTTTCTGCAGAAAAAGAGAAATTTGCTCAATTGTAAAGAAAAGGGAAACTAATTTTCATTATGAAAACTATTATTTTGCCTTAATCTCAATGATCCAACTCTGCTGTAGAGAATTACACCCAAAAGTGTTGTATTTAAATGATTTTTTCTGTTAATTATTTTTAAACCCAATCTAAAAATATGATTTTGAGAGTTTTCATTCAAAAACCTGAATTTCTACTTTAAAACTTAGGCTAAATTGGTATTCTAAATTCTAGGCTTTGTGAATAATGTGCAGTGTTTTTTATTTTATTTTTTAAATATAAAGATAATTATATTCTCAAACTATAGAAAAGTATAAAAAGTGTTATTGCTTAGATAAAATATATTGTCTGAATTACACAGAATGTACTAAAGATCAACCTGAAGATTAGCTCCTGCTTGGGGAGGGGGGCTGTTTGCATGGCGAATTTACTCTTTCTATAATGCCTGTCTTTCCCTATCATGTTATTCTTCCCATTACTTCATCTTACCCTAACCCTAACCCTAACCCTTTCTTTTTTTATGTACCCAGTGTATGTATCTCCTACTCTTAACTTATCCTCTTACTTTCCATATTTTTTCATATTTCCCTAAAGGAGTTTCTGCATGTATGTGACTATGTGTGTATACTTACATACATCTGTGGTGCAAGAGTGTGTTATGTGTAAGAGAAACATCATCTGATACATGCAGATAATAATATTTATTAAACTTGTATGCCATCCATTTCTCAGTGACTGTGGGCAGCTCACAACAATCTAAAAAATTACAATAAAATTAGCAAAACATAATAAATAAAGATAAAAGACAACAAGCACAGAGAAGTGAAGAAACTCCTTCTCCCTCCTCAAAGAGCTGGGTCAGGATGAAGCAAGTAAATAAGTGGATCCTAGGTCAAAGAACATAATTTTAGTTAGCAATTATTAATTGGATTAATGTATATTATTTTTTATCCTAGTCCTCTTCAGTACTTCTTTTTTCTTCTTCTCATCTCTTTTCCTTGGGCTGTTGCTTCTTGCAGACATATATTAAAGAATACATATGGATACATTAATCAGGCATAAGAACCTCTGCAGTTGTAAATTGGATTTGTCATTCTCCATTGTAGGTAGAGACAGCAGCCAGGAATGGGTGGTTTTCGCCTGTTCAGCTTGAAGGACTGAGACTGTTGCAAAAGTTGAGCTCCTCCCTTGTTGCTAGGGATCTCCAGCTTTTTCTCAGTCCTTCAGCCTGGACAGTCGTCTCGGATTGTGCTCTTGCTTCTAGTTTTTACTTGTTGCCTTTCTTGAACTTTATTGTCTAACTAATTGACCTTCTTGAACATCGAACTGTGAGTTGTTGGGGCGCTTGCCCTTTGGGAATCCTTTCCCTCTCTGCAGGCTTGCTAGCTTGTGAAAACATTCTTTCACCCCTGCCCCTTTGGCCAGTTACCCTGTTGAACTTGCAGGCGTTCCAGGGGAAAGAAGAGCTGGTTCGTTGGCCGGAGGGGGACGGCGGTTTGGTGCCCCCAGGAGCTTCACACTCCCTGAAATCAGCTTGCGGTGAGGAGCTTTGGGCTTCGAAACTGCTGATCGGCCGGCATACCTTATACCATCTGTCAGGGGGCCACCCGCAGCGTGGGACCGCTTGTGAAGCTTTCACGATCCTGTTTCACCCACCTGCCGACAGAACTGGGCGATTGCCAATTTGGATGGGGATTGCCTTTGGGCTTTTAAAGTGGCAGCAGTTTCTGCAGAGCAGCCTTTGTCGCTTCAGGAGCTTCGCGCTCCATTCTTAATGGCCGGCATCCATTTTGGGACACGTTTAGTGCCATTGAATGAGCCAATTTGATCGGCGGTCAGTCTCCTTCAGGAGCTTCACACTCCATTCACCTGGCACAATTACTGGGAGACTCAGGAGCTTCGCGCTCCATTGTTTATCATGGAAGGCTTCTCAGACCGTGGATGAGCTTAGCGCTCCATCGCTAACATGCCGGCCGCCATTTTGTGATGCAGGAGATTCGCGCTCCATTGTCAGACTGTTGGGCGCCATTTTAGGATCCCAGGAGCTTCGCGCTCCTCGTCCTGTTATTTGACTGCATATTGCCTGGGTCTTTATTTGCCTAACCGGTGTCACAACCTGGAAAGGGGGGATTTCCCCTTCAATTTGAATTTGAAGTTTGCTGTCTTCTGTGAATTTCTGACTCAGGCAGCCATTGCCAGTCCTTGTCTGACTGGCGGCCATTTTAACTTGCCATTTGACATTGTCATCTTAAGTCCTTCCACTAGTCCTTGACTGGCATTAACGTAGTCCTTCACGTAGTCCTTGACTGGCATTAACAATGCCTAAGGCATTAGCAAAATTAAAGCATGGCTGAAAGGCCGGATCTACTGGCCAGGATGCTAATGTAACTTTGGGTCCAGACCCAGGGGCTTTCCAGGATATTTCTGGCAAGGCAGTGTCCTCCATGGGAAGGTCTTCTCACTCCCATCATGCCCCTCGCAGCCTCAGTTCAGCTGCCACTAGGGATGAAAGGTGCCGGGACCAGGCCTTACAGAAAATCTGGAATAAGGCCAGCAAGCACAGAGTCTCTTCTTCAAAAGAGCTTCCACAAGCTCCCTCTCCTGGGATGGCACCTGACCAGGTTTCTCTGCGGGACTGCCCCGTTTCTGTCTCCACTACTGCCTTGTGGAGTTCCTCTGTACCCTCAGCGCCCGGCCCTACACCACTTCCTCTAGAGGAAGCTGCGGTGACTGCCCAAAGTCTGGCTCCTGGTCCCTCAGAAAACCCTCTGACTCAAGATAGAGAGGGTTTACTCCCTGATCATCTCCAACAGATTTTTACAGGGCTTTGCAGATGTCGTTGGACGCTGGCTACCTTCGACCGGGCGGAGATACTTCCAGGAGAGCGGGATGTTCTGCTTCTCCAGAGCGTGATGTCCAGGATGATCTGCTCTCCTGCCCAGAGTCGGTATTGTCTCCTCTTTCGCATACTACTCGCCCAGCTAACCTTGACGAGGTCGACCACCCGGAACCTGATTTGTCAGATGACGAGGGTCTAGAACCTGAACAGCCGGCCTTTACCAGCCTATTTCCTCCAGCGGTCTTTAAATCTTTACTCTTTAAGACATCTCAAGCGGCGCAGCTAGGCCCTTTCGACCTCCCAAAAGTCCTTTAACCCGCTTTTCTCTGAGCCAACTAAACCTGTCGATTCTATTCCAGCTCCTCCACTCTTCCTGGATGTTATTCGGCACCAGTGGACGTCACCTGGATCTGCTCCGGCTCCTTCTTCCCTGGACAAATACTTCTTTAACGTGGCTCCTGACATGGCCTCTTTACTTCAAATTCCATCGATTGATGCCCCTATTGCAGCATTGTTACCTCATACAGCCATTCCGGGCAAACGTGACGAAGGGCTTTGCCCTGAGGAACGCCGCTCCGATCAAACTCTCCAATGGGCTCACTTGGGGGGCGGCTTGGGCCATTAAGTCGGCCACCATGGCCTCCTTCTTTAACAGGGCGACATTGCTCTGGTTGAGCCAGTTCCAAAGCAAATTTCCCCCTGAGGATTCCAGACTGCAGCAGGACCTAAATAAAATTATTGCAGCAGTCCAGTTTTCTGCG